AACTCCCTTCTCCGTCTGCAGCGCCTTGAACTCGCTCTGCTCCAACTCCTGGATGCGGCAGCTCAGCATGGCAAGGTCAGAGACCACAGCTCTCAGTTCCTTCATGTTCTCCAGCAGACCGTCCTCAGGCTCTGCGGGCAGGTCAGAGGCTCGTGAGAAGCATGGAGGGAACATCAGCCCCAGGGGATGCTGAGCCAAGCTCATCCCCCTGTGCAGGCAGCCCTGGCAGCTTCAGAGCAGGGTGAGAGCCCCAGTACCTATTGGCTTTGGTGTAGAGGCAGATTTGTCCTTGGTAAACGCACTCCCACCTCCAGTGGCTTCATCGGCATCTGCAAGAATAGAAGGCAGAGGCGCTGTGCCCAGCCCTGCGTGCTGCAGGGAGCACAACCAGAACTCACCCACGCACCCGTCTGCCCTTGGGAGCTTAGAGAAGACCACAGCCACTCACAGGAGCTGTGACCCAACCCATGGCTCCCACAAGGGAACAAGCACAGGGAAAGGTACAGGGATGGTACCAGTATCATCTCCTCGCTCAGCACCAGCGCACATCCCCAGCATGGGGCGGGGTGGAAGCGATCCCCATTCCCATAGAGGGACACACCACCACCTCCCCCCCCAGCACCCAGACGGTGGGTGCCAGCTCACCTTTCCCTGACACCGCTTTCAGGACGCTGCCCACAAAGGAGCCCCCGGCACAGTATGGGGTGCGGCACGCTGGGGTACGGCAAGCAGGGGTCCAGGCACGGCGGGGGGTCTGCCAACCCGGTGTCCGTGGAGCCGGTGTCCAGGCTCTGCTTCTTGATGGGGCCTCATCCTTCAGAGGGGAGGGAGATCACAGCGCTGGGGTGCGGCTCGTGACAGCTCTGTGCTGCCCCAGCGAGTGGTGGGGTCTCAAAGCCACACCATGGAGAGCCACAGGGGTCTGACCCACCCCAGGCCACCTTGTCCCCAGGGCAGAGCTCCTACCTCCTCCTGCAGAGCAGCCCTGAGGCAGTCAGCAAGCTCCCGCAGCCGCATCTTGCTCTCGGCAATGTCTGCGGAGCACCAGGAGACTTTGTCCCTCTTGAGCTGCAAGTCAAGGAGCTCGGCCTTGGTGCTCTCCAGCTCCTTGCTGAGGGCAGCCTGCTCTTCCCTGTGGGATGGCACCAGCCTCAGCAGGAGCAGCATTCCCCCTCCTCGGTGTGGGATGGGGACACTTCCCATGCCTGCCTCCCACCGTGATCCAGGGGGTGGTGCAAACCCCACAGATTTAGGCAGCTTCCCCCAAGATGGGGTCTGCTGGGTTTCCCTGTAGCCTCTTCCACCCTCCTAGGCATCCATGGTTGGCCGGGGAAGCAGTGACTGAAGCCATGACCCCGTGTGTCCCCCACCCCCCAGGAGGGTCTAATTTTCCCCAAAAATAGAGGAGTTCAAGCGGAGGTGGTAAACAGGGTTGGTACCGCAGTCGCTGGTGGGAGTCCATCAGCTCCTCATACTGAAGGCTGCGCTCCTGCAGGGTGGCCAGCGAGGACTTCAGCCTGGCCTCCACCTCCAGCAGCTGCGAGCGGGACATGCAGTTCTCCTGGTCAAGGAACTGCAAGAGGGTGGGGAGGGGACGGCCATGAGCACCTGAGACCGGAGGGGCCCCATTCCAGCACTGTCCCCTCCCACGCCTTAAGGTGCTGTTTCCAATTAGGAGCAGTTTTACCCCAGCAGACCAACCCCTGGAGACCAGCAGGACAGGCTGGGGGATGGCACCACACCTGTAGCCAGCGGGGGGAAATTATCCCAGAGAGCTGTCCCCCTCTCCCCGGGAATCGCCGCCGGGCAGGACGGAAAGCAGCGCTACGTGCAGGATGTCAACCACCCTTGCCCCCCCGCGCAGGAGGGCTAATCCCACTCCTGGCTGGCCGCCAGCGTTCTCGATGCGTGGGGGAAGCTGTGACGGGGGGCTGGCAGCGCGTGATGGGTCAGGCAGCTCCATCCTCCCGGCACTCAGTTGCCTCCCGCAGCTCCTGGCACAGCCCATTGCACTCCTGCTGCAGGGTCTCCCGCTCCCGCGCCAGCCTGCCGGGGAGGGGACAGGGTCAGGGGGTGCCGCGTTTTGGCGGGGGGGGCTATGTGGGGGTCAATGCTATGGGCTCAGACTCACCAGGCCATCTCCTCCCATTGCTTCTCATTCTCCTGCTGCAGCGCATCCCGCTCCTGCTCCAGGTTGGCCAGGTTCGTCATCAGGGAGCTCACGTCTGTGAGAGGCAGAGCCATCAGCGTGGGGACAGGGGGGGGGACACGACACAGCAGCAGCTCCAGCCCCCTCACGTCACCCACCCCTACCTGTGCTGAGGCGTGAGTTGGCCACTGTCAGCTGCTCCATCCGAGCCATTGCATCCTGCAGGGCCACTGAGGTCTCCTTCAGCTGGCAGGACACCTGCAGAGACACAGTGCCCTCTGGGCTCACTTTGGGGTGCTCTTCCCCATGGGGTGTTCCCACACCAAGGGTGCCCCAAGTCCTCCCATGCCTGGGGGGCAGGCGGGGGGCATCTCTGACACCCCTGGGCACCACTCAGCACTAGGCAACCCCTACCTCCTCCTTGGATTGAAGGGCTTCCTCCGCTCGCTGCCTCATGGCATCCCGCTCCTCCAGGCAGCTCCGCAGCTTCCCAGGCACGCTCTCCGGCACAGCCCGGCACCGGGACACCAAGGCCCTCGTCTGCTCCCGCTGCAAGGGGAGACGGCACCCGGCAGAGCTGAGCACAGCACGGCCATGCTGGCTGGTGGCTCTGCCCAGCTGCGTGACCAGGGATGGGTCCGGCAGCCAGGCTGCCCGCAGCACCCAGGGCACAAAGTGCTCCAAGATGGAGCAAAGCAGCACCAGCCTTGACCGTGCTAGCAGGGAGGCGAGGGGCTGAGCCCACCACCAGCCCCCATGGGGACACCCCTCACCTCTGTGTCCAGGGCTCTCCTTTCCTCCTCCAGATTTTCAAAGGTGACGTCTATGAATTCCCTGAAAGGCTGCCTCTGGGCAGCCAGGGATGCCTGCAGGGCAGGAGAGAGGAGTCAGTGCTGCCGTGGTGGAAGAGCCACATTCAATGGCTGTGGAGGGAGGCAAGCACCAGGCCCAAGGTTGGATCTGTGACAGCTTCCCAGCAGCAGCACCAAGAAACATCTGATGGACCCAAGCCCATCGCCAACCACTGCTCAGAGCATCACCCAAGCCCAGGATGCAGGGACACTCTTCCAGCCCCCCCTGGGACACAGCAGGGGAGGTAGTTGGAGCTGCCCACCCACTTGGTACCTGCTGGTCAATGGCATCCACCAGTAGCATGCCCAGCTCCCGCTGGGAGGCCAGGCTCTGGTCACGGGCGCTGATCTGGGCACTGGCGTGGGTGTGGAAGGCCTCCAGGAAGCGATCGCCCTGCCAAGGGAAGGATGCTGCTCCGGGCATGGCATCGCACGAGGAGCAGCTCCCGGGAGCCATCCCTGCACACCGCTGCAGCCCAGGGCTCCCGCTCCCAGCAGGACACAGCCTACACCAAAAACCCAAATCCCAAGAGCTCCAGCCCCCCCCAGGCAGCCACAGCCCTTCTGGCCTTCCAGAGCCACACCAGGCTTTTCCCCCCAGATGCCAGAGACACCTTCCCCCTCTGCAGGGATGGGCAGAGACACAGGATGCCCCATCAAAGGCATGGGGATGGCAGGGCCTGCCCTGATCAGCCCACCGGCTGCCTCCCTACCTCCTCCTTGGCTCGGAGGGCTTCGTCTGCTCGCTGCCTCATGGCATCCCGCTCCTCCAGGCAGCTCCGCAGCTTGCCGGGCACGCTCTCCAGCACGGCCCGGCACCGCAACACCAGGGCCCTTGCCTGCTCCCGCTGCAAGGTGGGACAGTGCCAGGAGGCACCGGGTATAGCCGATGGCTGCTGTGTGTGCCAGCAGCACCAGCATCTCCCAAAACCTGGGGGAAAGGGTGCCCAGCCCAGCTGTGCAGGGGCTCACCTCCCAGTCAAGGGCTCCCTGCTCATCCTGCAAGCTCTGAAACACAACATCCACGAGGCCCCGAAACAGGAGGCACTGACTGCTCCAGGCATTCTGGGGAAAGGACAAGGGCACCGGCGCTCAGGCAGCGCTCCCGGGGCCAGCACAGGCAGTGCCGGGCACACGTGTGCCCTGCCAGGCTGAGACCTGGCACACTCATCACACGCCAGCCAGCCAAGACTCACCATCCCCGCGGTTGACAGCTCCAGCTCCCGATGCAGGTCCCGCTCCGCTCCCCGCTGCCGCTGCAGAGCCTCCACTTTCTTCCGCAGCTCAAGGTAGAGATTGCGGTAGATCTCTTCCTCCTGAGGACATCCCGGCAGAGCGGAGGGGGCTTGGCACCAGCCCTGCTCCACCCTGGGGTCCAGCAAGAGCCATTTGGCTGTGACAC